CCCTTCCAGCCTAGGCCATTCCGTGATTCTAAGTTGCCTTGATGTTTCCTTTGGGTTTACTTCGCTTTCTGTATTGCGTAGGATAAAATCTCCCTTACTTGGGTTCCTGCAGTGACAGAAAAGCCAACTGCCCATCAGGGAGGCAAGTGCTGAAAATACTAGGAAGGTGTATACCCGAGGCTACAGGAAAACACAGAGCCACCTTGCAAGGTGTATAGAACTGACCTAAACTTCTGAACAGTAACAACTCATGACCTTGGATGTTAAAGATTTGGGAATCACTTTGATCCAAACTATTCCAGTCATGTCTAAATGTCACTTCTTGCTTTCTTCTTTGAGCAATATCTGTTAGTCTATTTGACCTGTTTTTGCTTAGGGCAGCTGAATGGACTCATTTTCTCCCCTCTCAGAATGCTAAGTTGGTGAGGCAGCACCTCAGTGCCATGACCAGAACCTGCCCGACGAAATGAGCTGCCTCGCTGTGAGAGTCTTTGCAAAAAGAACAGTCAAGTCTCCATGAAGACTGACCTCAAAGGCTAAACGTTTTTCTCCACAAAGAAAAATAGTTGCTACTGTGTCTTTGTAGTGGTATTTCAAGGCCATACATTCCTACCGCTGTCCGCATTTAATAGTAAGACTCAGTGGCTGGAGTAATTTAAGTTTCATCTCCTGGTCATCTCTGGGTACCCAAGGTTGCATCCTCATAGACTGCTACGCTGTGGACGTCTGCTCTGAGTGCTGCTAGGAGGAGGGTTTTAGGTTTGCATTTTATTGTCTAGTTGGAATCTTGCAGAGCCATATACTTCCAGATTTTTAATCATACGGACAGTCTTTTTTCTTGTGCTGCTTGAGTCAGTTGGATCATGATAGCAAGTATGAAGCAAGATGATGGACACTAGGACAGAGTTTAGCTTGCATGCAATGATTAATAAGTTTGTGCTGATTCACAAAACTGTATTTGTTAAGTAGTGGTTCATATGCAAAGTGATACCCAAACATAAATGTAAGGACTTGGCATTGTCACGGATACAAAGTACTTTTAAACAACTTATTATAACTTACATGTTTTTAATGGTTAATCTTGTCTAGAATGGAGGCAGTCTTGCTGACGTCTTCAGATGGGCTACTGCTTTCAGTAGCCATTTACAAATCATAGGACCTGAACAAGTGGCCATTGCTCATTCCTGATTAACTTAGATCAGCCTTTTGCTGTGGTAAAAAATGTGCAGTTATTTTCTTATTTAGAGCTCATTTACTGCTTTTGGTTTTCAGATGTGTCCTAAAAGAACTCGAATCATTGGGGAAAGCACTGTATGGAGCAAAACTGATTGCCCAAAGATTTCAGGTTCGCAACTGTTCTCACCACAAGGATCCCGTGAGTGGTTCAGCCTGTTTACTTTCCATGATTGAAGAAGGCAACCCTCATCACTATTTTATTGCTACACAGGTAAATGCATGTGGCAAACGTAACTCCTTTTTATTTGAAGCGATCGTTAGATACGTAAGGATAAAGAAACCTACAGAAAACTTGATTATGAGATTTTTAAATAGCTTGTGGGAATTAATCTTATAAAGCCGTACTCCGAAATGGATTTGCTGATTTCGAAAGTAGGGAATCTTTTGTCTTACTTAAGCAACTAGATTTTTTTAATCCTAAAAGGGTATTGCTTAGTTTATTGGAAAGTGTAGAAAATATACTGACTACCTATTGACATGTAAGAAAACAACTTGTGAATGTTAATTCACACATTGCTTGTGTACGCATCCCCTGCCCTCAGCTGTTTTCACAGTAGTCTGAAAAGTGAAATTAAATGTTAAACAAACATGTAACTTGAATTTTAAGAACTTCTGGAAGTTTTAACTGAAGAATAAATGTAGAAATTGTGTACAAATAAGAAAGGAAGATTATTTCCCATAGGTCTGTTAGTGGGACTGTATGCATACATTATATACAATATATATAAAATGGTTTAGTGTAAGATTCTTTATACTTCTGTAAGATACAAGGAGTTTCAGAGGACTGGTAGAAGAAATTACGTTACTTCTTGTGAAGTGGTGGACTCCATACCAATGAACTGAGACTTTTTTTTCAAAAAATGCATGTATGCTTATACATGCCTGAAAAAAATGAAATGTTAATAAATTTTCCATCATAAGTGCAGCTAATCAGAAAGTGAGAAATTTTAGTTTTAATTGCTCTGAAAGGCACTGTCGTGTATATCTGCTAGATTAGGTTTCTTATCTTTTTCATAACATAGTTTATCTTCATAGTTTTGTATTAAAAGTAGGGCATTTGGATTGCAAATATCATTTAATCACAAAACATTGACTAAAGTATTTAATTTTACAGGACCAGGATTTAGCAAACAAAGTGAAAAAGAAGGCTGGTGTTCCTCTCCTCTTTATTATTCAGAACACTATGGTGCTAGACAAACCTTCTCCTAAATCTTTGGCAGTTGTTCAAAAGTTGCAAACAGATGAGCTTGTTCCAGAGCACCAAAAACAAAGTATTGTGGAGCTAAAAGAAAAAGAAGGGCTAGCAAAGCAAGAAGGTGAAAAGAGAAAAAAACGTAAAAGGGCAGGTGGCCCCAATCCTCTCAGCTGTCTGAAGAAGAAAAAGAAGAAAACACAAGAAGGTCAGGAGCCTTCTACTGAAAAAAAGAAAAGAAGAAAAAGAAAGCGAAATAGAGTGAAAGCAGAAGCCGTGCAGCCTGTGCAGAATAATGAAGAAGAGTAAACCTGTCTCTAGTAAACCATGCAGGACTTGAACCTTGTTTGAATTTTGAGAAAAAAAAAGTATTTAATATGCAGTCATGTTGTTAATATTAAAACCTTTTTTTATGAAGTGGCATTGCTTATTACTGCTTATCAACATTTGCAGCTTATTGTCCTAATAATTTATTTCATTGTTTAGTAATTCGGTTTGTGACAAAATATTTAGGAAGCTTCATGTTTCATTATTCTCTCCAGCATTGTGATTCCTGCCAGAGAGTTCCATGCTCAGTAGCAATTTTTTAGAAGTGCTTCTCGGGTTTCACATGGGTTTTGGTGGCATACTGGACTTCTTTCTAAATCTAGGATGCTGTCCTTACTAGAACTGGTGTTGACAGTTCTGTTGAAGAATGCAGAGTTGACCTAAAAGAGAATATCTTATTCATCTGTACTGATTGAGTACACAGATTAACTCTTCTGTAGAGTGACCAGATAGGCTCAAGAAGTCCCTTCCAGTCAAAGTTACTCTGTAAGCTTCAGACTGACTGTTGTTTATGGTGTTTATTCATTAACAAAATCCTGAAGGCTATGGGATTGTGTTGATATTCCCAGCATTTTAATGGCAAGACATGTCTATTTTAGCTAGTTTCTCTCTACTTAATTATTCCTTTTTAAATAGGAAGAATGTGACTTGAAAATGCTGAATCAAAGCACTGTCTAACACCTGGTGCCATCATGGTATAGCACAGCTGTGGGGGAGTCCTGAGATGCAGCCAGCTGATGGTGATGGGACTTGGACTCTTGCACTTGCTTCACTCTTCTGTAAAGTTTTGAGCAGAACAGAACTGTGTTGGAGGAGGGAGCTGCCAGAAATGTCTCTAGTGTCTGATTTTCCTTAGTAGCTATTTCCTGTATGTCTGCTATTTTCGTTGTGTGTCTGGTGGCATCAGGAGGAGGAAGCAAGTGGCTGTGGTGCCGTAGCAGCGGAGTGTGCAGTAGAGTACGTGCTGTGGCACAGGGGTAATTGAAGGTAATTGAAAGATTTTCTTCCGTTTCCTGTAAGTGGTGAGATCATAGAATCATAGAATGGCCTAGGCTGGAAGGGACCTTAGAGATCATTTTAATCCAGCCACCCTGCCGCCAGGGACGCCACCTCTCGACTAGATCAGGCAACACATGGGGACTGAACGGGAATCGAACCCGCGACCTTGGCATTGTTAGCGCTACGCTCAACTGACTGAGCTTACCGGGGTGCTGTGACAGAGTTCCCAGGCACCTCTTACCAGAACTTTTAACTTTTCTCATTGCATTTCTACTTCACCAAGATGTAGTTCTTAAAAGGAAGACTTCTAGTTTCTTCACCGGCATGAGTTTAAGCCATGTTTTTTTAAAAGATCTTCAGCCTATGTTCCATATGTTTGCAAAGTAGTTCTCGTGTGCATTACCTGCACAGGTTATTGAATATCTGGAGGGTATGCAGTTACCATATGTGGTGACGATCTTTTTAGGAAGGCCTGTTGTGACAGGACAAGGAGTAGTGGTTTTAAACTAAAAGAGGGTAGACTTAGGCTGGATATAAAGAAATTTTTTACAATGAGGGTAGTGAAACACTAGAACAGGTTGTTCAGAGAGATAGTGGAGGCTCTATCCCTGGAGACACTCAGAGTCGGGCTGGATGGGGCTCTGACCAGCCTGATCTAGTTCAAGATGTCCCTGCTCACTGCAGGGGAGTTGGACTAGATGGCCTTTAAAGGTCCCTTCCAAACCAACGCATTCTGTGATTCCTGTTGGCTTTTTAATTACAAGGACAGTTGTTTCATGGAGTTTGAGAAACCAGCCTGTGTGATGCGAGTTGACCAGTCTTAGCAGAAACTGCAGCATTGTTCCCTAGAATCTGCAGAGATTTCTCTCAAGCCAGCGCAGGAGAAGGTCATCGGGGCGCTCTGTGCTTGCCGCATGGTGCGCTGGTGCTGTAGCCAGAGGTTGAACCCGCTCCTCACAACACAGCTGGTAGGAGCAGACTGGTTTTACTGTTCCATATGAGAGACCGTGTACACTTTGGGAAATGACCACAGGAGACAGAAGTAGTGAGGAAGGGTGCCTATACTTGGGAAGAAAGGTGTGATTAAAATTTAAAGTGGTGACACTCGTGGAATTGTTCCCACATTGATTGCTAGTGGTGAGCCCTGAGGAGAAATTTATTAACTCCTAGGAATTCCTCAATGCAACATATTTGCTTAATGTACATCACCTCTCTTGAGCTGTCCGGTTTCCTTTTCCTTCACTTCTTTGGGCACGGTGCCATGTTCATGTAGATTTGCTTTCCGTTCCCCCTCCTATTTCTTCCCCCTTGCCAAACCCACCTGCAGAAAGCACTGCTCTACGTAAAGCTTGGAGCAGACAGCAGAGATGGCTCATCTTCAAAACCTCATTCTGAGTCAAAAGTATATTAAAAGCCAGGAGCTCTACTAAAAACAGATTATAAAAATTGAGCAGAAAACACACCCTTATTATTTACAATAGTCCCTTTAAATGATAGTGAAACACAAAGCTTAAATACACCTTTTTGTGAAGACTATAGAGAGACACAACCATAATTACTGCAAAAAAAAGAATTATTTTAACACCTCTCATGACTCCCACCTTAAGGAATTTAAAACAATATTTATCTGTGTTTCCTTAGTATTTTGTTAACACAGACTGAGTCATGGCGTTGCCATTGGGAAGAACTGGAATGAAAAGTGATTGAGCTCTTCAGAGACAGGCTGTAAAATTTGTCAGCAGTGTAGCTACGGCTCTCTTCCAGCGAGGTAAATGACTTTGCCTTTCAGTTTCCGAAGAGAGCTCCCTTCCAGGCAACAAGCAGAAGCAATCAGCCTATGTGTTGTTACCATTTTGAAATTTGGGAAAAAGAAAAAAAAAAAACAAGAAAAAAAACCCCCAAACACATTAGTTTCCAAGTAAAACAAGTCCGCCAGGCCAAAGCTGACAGGCTGTATTTATATCATTAAATCCGTAACCAAGAGCAGCCTGTAATGCGGAGCCCAGCTGGCAGGGGCTGGCTCTGTCCGGGCTGGCTGCACACCGGCCTGGCTGCTCTGGCTGACCGGGTCTGGGAGAGGTTTAGCTGGCCCCAGCACGAAACCATACCTGAGTGCCTCTAATAGCATGAGTCGCTGGGAGCGTTGTTGTCGTGGGTTAGGGCTGAGCCAGCCACTAAAACAGGGACAGATGCTCTCTAACCTCCTCTTCCTCCCCAAATGGGAAGGAAAAGGGAATGAGGCAGAGAGACTTACAGGCTAGGAAAAAAACTAAAACAGCTTTAAGGAAACAGTAATAGAAATAATGGTGAAATGATAAAAACCAAGAACTATACAACTATAGATAAGCCCAGTATTGAACCTGACTCCCGCCCGGTATCAATCCCCACTGATGCTGCAGAGCAGGAGGCACTGGGCAAGCCCCAGCCTACGCAGCGGCG